AATGCAGTGCAGTCATGGCCCCGAACTGCCAACTCATGCCGACAACAACTTTATGTATCAATAGCCCTCACAAGGGGGGTCAGAACATGTACGTTGTGGTCTCGCAAGCACTCACCCAGGATGATAATCCCACGAGGTGACGTAGAAGCAACCATATGAGAAGTTACTATAGAATGACCACTCACTTAGGCAGAGAAGTCAGGCCGCACGTCGGCTAAATAATATTATGGGGAGTGGACTATGAGTCGCTCCCAAAGCCCAAGGGCCACGATGCCAAACAAATAGTGACCTTAGCGCTAAACATGAAGAAGACCCAGTCGCCTCTTCGACATGGGCGGAATAAATAAGCAGGTCGCATTCAGCCCCATCGGTGTGCAGACAGGTCGAGTACATACCGTTCCGCCTCAGCTCATCAGTGTGCAGAAGAAAGAGTAAAAGAAAAGACAGAAAAAGAAGCGAAGGAAGGAAGACTAATTCGGCACAAGAAAGAGAAAAAAGGAAAGACTAGACCATGACAGACACAAACTTGGTTGATCTCTTCACAGTAGACCTCCACCGCGGTTTTAGGCTCCGCATCGAATTCGCTAGCTACTCTTTTGAGAACCAGCTTGAGGGACACTGTGCCGAAGTCTAAATAGGTGGAGCAACCTGATAAAGCAGTCACACAGAACCCCTTCTTGAGGATAGCATGATGAGCTTTGCTCTTGAGGTACTTAGTCGGATTGTAGAACCCCTCGATGGTTGCATCCCTAATAAGGTAGATGTCCTCGGGGTACCTGTTCCACCTCTCCTCGAGCAGATGAATTCGCTCTTGTGCCTCGATAATCAAGACTGCAAGGTCTTGCATAAGGCTGCAAACACTTGGACTCTTTCGACCTAAGGAGCAAATTGGATTGACGCCAACGACTATGAGCTCATCAAACAGTCATTCCGGGCCAAAGGAACAATCTACTCCCTTTGCCGAGTTGCCCTTAGCTCGGGAGTGGGGGGCAATTGATGAGGGCGGATTTGGCCTTCTAATAACCTCGTGACACATGGCATCTTGGAACAACTGGGTGACACCCAGAACCACCTAGGCGACAACTTGACTTATCCAAAATGATGGAATCCCAGTTAGCAACCTGGCATTGTTGCCGACCTGGCGACCTGGCCCTAGCACCGACTTGGCAACCTGCCCCTAGTGCTCACCTGGCAACCTGCTCCTGGTGCCGACTTGGCGACCTGCCCCTATTTTCGACATGGCGACCTGTCTCTAGTGCAAACTTGGCGATCTACGAGACATGCTCGTCGTCGATTTCTACATGCATCCCATCACTCCCTGGTCTCTTGGAAGTCAGCTCTTACACTGAATGTTTTGGGAGAAACCGAGTAAGGTGCAAAGATTGGCCTACGTGCACGACTACCTCTAAGGAATTCGGAGCAGTTAGGCACATCCTCTTGGAGATCCCAGATGTGTTGCGTGTTGCTCACGCCAAATAATGCCTATATGAAGGCCTTACCTCCAACTCAAGGGGTAGATGCGCATTTTAGTTCTCGCAGCTCTCTCACATTTAGCTATCTTAAAATCTCTGATTCGCTAACTTAAGCATCAGAGTGCCCACCCCGAGTAAAGCAACTCGGGCACTCTGACATTGTTTCCTTGCAGGTTGCATCAGAGCCACCTCTCTAGCTCGTCACCATTCAATTAGGCATTAGAGCCACCTTTCCAACTCGTCACCATTTAGTTAGGCATCAGAGCTACCTCTCCAATTCGTCACCATTTAGCTAAGCGTCTAAGCCACATTCCAAGTAGGAATTATTCAGCTAGGCATCTGAGTCACCTGTCAGCCGGGGAGCTGCCAAAATGCGCATTATCAGATCCCGATCGCATGATCATAATCAATTCCAACTTTGGATCTTATGATGAAGGGGTAAACAATGTTGGATTTTGGTGACCTCAGCATCATTGAACTTGGAATTTTGGGTTTCATATACTTATTGTGTTGGATTTATGACTTAATGTGATATAGAGTTTAGGATTGAAAAGATCATAATCAAATGATTAAAATAAATTTTGACTTTGGGTTTTAGGATGGAGGGGTAAACAATGTCAATTTTGGGTGATCTTGGTATGGTTGGATTTAGAATTTTGGTCTCTACATATCTATGGGGTCCAATTTCTGATTTGTCTTGAAATAAGGTTTAGGATCAAAATGATTCTAAATGGACAATGGGGATCAGATCAAACTTTGAGTATGAAGATAGAGGAGTAAATAGTGTTAAATTTTGATAGTCTTGGTACTATGGGATTTATTATTTTGGGCTCTACATGCCTACAATCTTAGATTGGTTTAGCTTGATCGTCTAAATTATATAAAATTCCAAAACTACCCCTAGATTATTTACAATAATCAATGGTCATTTTTGTTTTGGTAGTTAGTTTGGTGGTTATGTACAATGACAATTGTAAGTATTTGTTTGTTATGTACGTAGGAAAACTGTTTATGACATTTGTTTAAATTGCCTTGTTATTGTAGAACTTTGAGCTATTTTTGTCAACTTAAAAGTTCGAATAAGCCATATTTCCAATATTCAGGTTTTTTTAATTTTTCCATGTTACCATGCCACATGGAAAATTTCAATCACTACTATGCAATGTCACCGCATAAATAATGTTTATATTATAAAGTCAGAGAATGCATGGATTTATCAAAATGGAATGAAACCAAGCATTCTGCAAAATTTTCTTAGAACGAAAACACTAGAAAGTAATTTTTGCAAGAAAATTGGTCTCAACAACCAAATGTGGGGTGCCAGAAATGAGAAAATAAATTTCCCTTTCTCATTCCACTCTTTCTCAGCAACCAAACAAGCTATTAAGGGACCTCTAATGGAAAAGGTGGTGATGGGTTCATTTACTCCAGCCTTACGTTAAAATATTCATCTAGCATGTGGCAAGTAGGGTGCAACTTGAGCGGGTCTAACACAAGCCAGCATCGACCTAACCCAAAATTTTACATGGGCTAGCCTTGAATTTTTGGTCCTCGAGCTGGGCTCGGGCCTAGCCCTTAGGTAGCCCAAACCCAACTCGACTATAAACATACATACATATATAGATATGCATTTACATATATACATGCATATTTGTATAAATATTTACAAATATACATACATATATGCATACATATTTATATATATACCTACAAATATGTATACATATTTGCATAAAATGTATACATACAAGTATAATTTTAGAGCGGGTTCATTGGCCAACCCGAGCCCTACCTGGGCCCAAGCCTAACCCGAGTACAGCAAATTATAATGTAGGTTGGACTCAGGTTGGGAAGATCAGGCTTAACCTCGAGCTTGACCCAGGATCAATCCTTAAGCCCAAATCTTAGGGTTAGACCTGGGTTAACCACAAACCTGGCCCAACCTACCCAATTTTCACCCCTAGCGATGAGTGACGCACTCTCCACCAAGGGTATCTTGCACAACCACCATCTGACTGTGGAGTGAAGTTGTCTATCAAGTAGGAAATCCATTTCAAGTACATGTGTTGTAGTATTTCCAGTCAAATACATCCTATAAATTTTGCTCGATTTTGAACTTGTAAATGGATGTAGTGCTTAAAAAACCAAACTGAACTGGCTGATTGGACTGATTGAACCATGATCTAGGGCTTTGGACAATTCGGTCACACACCAAGAATCATAATGTCTAAAAACCCGGTGAAAACCAGTTGACTGGCCAATTTAACCAAAAAACCGATGAATTGGTTCTGGTTTCATAAAACCACCTGAGTCACTAAGTAATTGAAATTTTAAAATGCATGACAAGACTTAACCCATGACCTCTTATTTTCATATATTATTTAATTACCACAAATTCACTTTTTTTAATTAATGACTTTATTGTATATATTACTTTATTATACACATATTTCAAAGAAAATGTAAATTAAGAGACTTGAACCCTAATTATTTGCTTTAAAAATTAAAGAATTTGTCATCCATCCACCATATTCAAGTATAATAAAACTTGTAAAATACATTATATATAATATTTATATGATCCATAATATATACATGCCACATCATCACAATTCAACTTCCGGTTTGACCCCGATTGAACCTTTAATCCATAAACCAAGGTTCAAAATATCGACACATCGACCCATATTGGTCAATACGTATCATTCCAGGAGCTCCCCGATATGCCCCTATAGAGGGTTTATTGGGGTTCAGCCCGGTTGAGGGGGTGGAGACTTAAACCAACCCCCCTGAATCGGTTTTGAAAAAAGAAGTAAAGAAAAGTATCAATATCGCCCGATACACCCCCCTACCGACACATTGGGCGTATCGATATTTTGAACCTTGCCATAAACCTCTTCCTTTTCCGGTTCTATTCCTGGTCCGGTTCTCTGAACATCAAATGAATGTCATCTCTCACAGAAACATCTATTGGTGGTTTAAGGAATGGTAAGAAATCAACTGTCATAGTGATAACCATGATTTTATATGGGTCATTGTTTATGTTTAACAGATGGTGTCGCAATAAGGGTTTTGTGCAGGAGTTCGACCCCAGTACAGTGATCAGATGAGAACAAGCATATCTGCTCACTCTGATGAAGCACTATAGAAGTGAGCAATTCTTGTGCTAGATCGAATGCCTACAAAGCCTCGCAGACAAAGCCCCAAACCAATTCTGTCAGGATTAATGTCGATGGGTACATTTTGGATCCGGAGTGCCAGATTGTATATGTGATCATCATGGCCATCACTTATTTCATGAGCTGTGCCTCCCCATTTGTTCTCCCCTTGAGGCTGAAGCCCAAGATTTCTTTCACGGACTTAGAACGGCCTACTGAGCAGCCCACCATGTTGCACGCCCAGCTCCTGTGCACTAGACCCCTCACGTGGTCTATTAGTATTTGCCAGATTTTCCTGTTCTATTGTATCTAATGCACTGGTGACCGAGATGAATGAAAGTTTTTTGCGTTTTGCAGTTCAAATGTTAAATGAAAAAAGAAAGAAAAAATGTTCAGCGCATCAATTCTTACAGTCCAAACATAAATCATAGTTACATCAGCAGATCAGCTTCATATTTTCAAGTTTCAACCCTAACCCAATTCAACACAACTTTTCGGTGAGATCCTGTCTAACTCTTAACCCGGCCCAAGTTGTACTCTTAAGTACAACTTCACCCACCTGCAAAAAACGGGCAAACTAGTAACAAAATTCCAATTAAATACTAAGAAAAAATCAGAGGGGTGCTTACCCTCGATTTTCATCTGCAAAACTAAAACCTATTAGTGCTTTGTTTTTTAAATTGATGTTACAACAGTAGAAGTTACAAAGGAGATGGAGACATGCAGGCAGATACCAACTATTCCGTCATTCCAGACCCCCAACAAGGGGCCGTATTTTCCTTAATTTTCAAGAGGTGTCAAACCACCTCAGATCCCTCCTTACTGGAAGGAATGGCTATTATGATTTTTTTTTTTTTTTTTTGCAACAAGAAAGATCACCCTCGTCTTCCCTCATAGGCTTTAAGATCTGCAGAGATCAATGCATTGAACTGACATGTTAATACTTTCACTTGACCTTGAAACCCCAAAGATGACGAGAATAAAATAGTGTTCCATCTTTTGACAATCTCGTGACTTCAAAGAATTTGTTGATGTAATCTACCCCATCAAAAGTGCAGATAATATCTCTCCCATAGTCTTCTCAGACATGTCAGTTTCACTATCCAACTCCATTCCAGACTCGAGCACTGCAGCATCCAAAACTAGCTTCCGTTTAGCAATCTCATAAACGTTCTCATCAACCGTACCCTTTGTCACAAGTCTGCAGAAAAGTTGAAGATATCAGGGTAAGACATCTAGCACAAGCTAAAATTTCTACCCAGAAATAAGGATTTTCTTTTAACAAATCCTTTTCCCTTATTCTTTTGTCCATGTGCATATGGTCTTTTTCCTTTTCCTTTTTTTTCCTATCTGTACTATTATGGGCTAGGGCCAAACCCAGGCCTGCATTTTACAGGGTAATAACTGCATTGGGCTGCCCAGGCCCACACCTGGGTCCAGGCCAGGTATCTGGGGTTGTCCTATAAATTAATAAAATAATATTTTAATTTTAATTTTAATCTAAGTTCTTAATGAAAAGTACAGAATATATATAAAATTTATTATACATATTTTAATATATTAATAATAGATACATATATATACTATAAATATTATTTATACAATACATACATAGATATATATAGTATATACTATTATTTATATTAAAGCTCTAGGCCAGGCCAGGCAATGCGGGCCCCACCAGAAATGATCAACCCTAATCTGTGCTTGTTTTTCTTGCTACTTTTTTTGGTGGGTATGTGGAGAGTTTAGTTGAGGGCAGGGGGAGGAATGGACGTTACCTGTATATAGTAACAGGTTTCTTTTGCCCAATGCGATGGCAGCGATCTTCAGCCTGTCGGTCCATCTGTGGGTTAAAATCCATGTCATGTATGACCACGGTATCAGCTCCAGTCAAGTTTAAACCCTGGCCTCCAGCCCGTGTTGATAGAAGACATGCAAAGATAGAAGAATCATTGTTGAATGTGTCTACTATCGTCTGTCTTTCAGCAACCTGAGTACTGCAATTTAGTAAATGGACACAGTTAACTAAAGCAGAATAAGGAAACCTTTTCCATGTATATATGGTGTTTCAAAGCACTCAAAATTGAGGGAGACACACAAGTTGCCCTTTGATTGGACGAGAGAGAAACATACAAAGGTCCTTGGAGACTTAGCTATCAGATTATAAAAACAAGGTCGTTGAAAGCCATGTGGATTGTTTAGTTCAGATCAGTGTTTTGAAAACCAAGCCGGAGGCTGATCCATTTTCCCCTCTAGGTAGTGGGTCAGCAGTTCAACCGTCCATTTTCACACCTCTTCCCCCTATTTTAGTGTGAATGGGCTATGCCTCAACTTTTTTCATTTCCACCGTCTAGATCACCAAAAGGTACTCCAAAACCAATGGTCACAATAGAAAATATAAACATAAAAATAAAAAAGAGAATGTAATTTGTAACCATGACCAATTATCAAGGTCAAGTGGGTTGACAATTCAACTCTGGGTCAACAGGTCTCTGACCAAGTTGACACCTTTTGACTGACTACTGGCTCTGGGGTTAACTTGAGCCAGAATTGCCGCCAGGTGAATTCAAATGGTTTGACCACCCGGGTCAATGACAGGTTCTGAGATCCCCCAATTCAATTCCTCACAGCCTATCTTGGAGGACTGACAAGAGACCCTTGGTTGGAGTTGAGATTTTCCATTTTCTGTATGTTTTATGGGACTCTACCAAGCTTGTGTTCATTTAATACATTTGTGTGTGTGTGTGTGTGTGAGAGAGAGAGAGAGAGAGAGAGAGACCTAATAGCTACTCTTAACCTTTTGAAAATAGCTTGGGTGTCAATTATAATACAAGGAAGCGAATCCCACCACAGAGGCTACTAAGGACACCACAAATTAGTCCTATAGTAACAACTTGAACTCCAGAATGCATCAAAGATCATCACAGTTGTGTTCAAGCACTTTTATCCTATATCATGAGGATTCCAAGAGCATCACCTCCCAATACCGGGTGTAAATTCTACATGAACCATTTGGGAAATAGATCTTCTCTGCTTCCATCTCATCGTAAGACGGACTCTATGAAGAAACTTGCTCTTTGAGACCTCAAATTTTACTAATAATACTAGGGAAAGGTAGCACAATCCATCAACACATCCTTGTGCATTAATTCTACCTCTAAACTGCAGTGAGATAACAAAAATTTTGAATTATTTCTGAATAAAATAGATCTCAAATCATCAAGTCAATGTCAGTAGTTTCTAGGCTATACCCATCAGCTGGAAAACCCAACACTGTACATATATCATGCTAATGCCAAAACAATACCATATTGATAGCATAGTCGTCAAAGTGATAAGGCACTCATGATGGGTCATCTTGCTTAATCACTGACATATTTCTATACACAGTGCTCTTAGATACTTTTATATTCCTAACTTTAAGATTATAATAATAAAACAGACATTACTAAACCAAATTATTCAGTTGGTGAGTAAAAATACTAATTTCTTTTTATTATTTTTCTTATTTGTTAGGGTTCAATCAACATGTATGCTGTCTTGATTCCTTGAAGACTTCAAAACCTCAACTGGTGAGCAAGGAAGCACTCAAAGTTTTGTCCAGTCAACACATTTATTACTTTTCTTCCAAGTTCCATCCTTTCTTTTCTTCTTTTCCTAGGCCAAAAATAGAGGCTTAACCTCTCTATTTTCTGAAATTTCTTTTTTCTTCCATTTTTCATGAACATGTTGTTTTTCTATGTTATAAATGAAGTTAATACATTTTTTATGAAGATTACAGACAACTAAAAGTGAAAGATGCTTGTTGCTTGCCTAGGTGACAAGGTGCTCACCTGTCACCTAGACTCACCTTGGCACCTCGGAAACTATGATTGATAGACTTGAATACTAAATGAAAAAGTAAAATGCCACCTGCCATCAAGCCGCCTATATGTAACTCCAATGACATCCAAAGTCCATTCCAGAATATCAAGCATTGATGTCCACTGGCTGAAAATTAGAACGCGATGCCCATCTTTCTTTAGTGAAGGAAGAAGATCAGCTAATGCCTGCAACAAAACTGCATTAATGTAACAATGCCAAGAATGATGAACTTTTTGTCACCAGGTAAACTGTAATTAGTAAATCAATTCACCATGTCTACATTTTTTTAAGTCAAAATTATTTCAAAATATCACCATCATCATCCAAACTTTGTCCAAACTGTATGGGGTCAACTACATGAATCCTGTTTCACCATTCCTTTTTGCTTAATGTCATATGCATTGCTAAATTATTAGCACTAAATCATTTCTTACTACTTTGAACCATGTCCTTCCTGGTCTACTCCTACCCCTTATTAGCCCATTCAACTTGCAACAGATCACTTCTTCTTATGGATGCTGTGAAAGGTCTTCTATGCACAAAACCATATTAGTCTACTTTCCCTAATTTTATCACCTATTAGAGCTACTGAGCTACTCCTAAGTTCCTTCAAATGACTTTGTTTCTGATCCTATCCTTATAGTTTTTCCACTCATCCATCTCAAAATACACATATCATAATATTATGTCAAGATACAAGGAAAACAATTAAAAACAGAGGGTCATATTTTTCCTTTTCCATTCACAAAAATTATTGGCTTCATGGTAAACAATGTTAATTAATATAAAGCCACAACTAGAATATAAATACTTGTTTTTCTTCTAGAGAAAATTCAGAATTTATTGTATCAAATAGAAGGAGTTCAGCCAAAAAAAATAGAATTTATTGTATCAAATATAAAGCCAAAAAATGTGATGCATCAGCCTCCAGTACACAAGGTTCAAAGTTTCAATACAGTCCATACGCCAAATTGGGTGTATCAGAGTTTGTACCGACACTCTTTTATAATTTTTTTAGTTTTTTTTTCAAAATATGTTCAGGGGGTCAGTTAAAGGCCTGGTTACCCCCTGAAACAGGCCGTACCCCAAAACTCCTTACATTTTGCATATCGGTGACCCACAGATATGATATGTATCAGCCGATACGGGCCGATACAAAACGAAATTTTGAACCTTGCCACTACATATATACCAACCATAAGGTCAGAACACACTGGTCATGCAGTATAAGACCAGTAGTCATATCAATCTATGATGCTGAGATACAGATGTGGAGATGGATAGAGACAGAGAAATGGAAATGAGTAATAGGGATACGACTCTATTTCCTAAAATTCTAGATACAGATACATGTACTGGTATCCCATGTAATATGTTTATATTATGCATTTATATCTAGCTTTTTAAGTAAAATATCGTTTCTCTAGACTTTTGTCTGCTCAAATTTAATTGAACTTCTTAAATGTACACATATTTTTGTGGTATAACTTCATAGCATACTACTTTACATATTTTAAAAGTGTTATGCTATAGAATACATCTGGAAGTATCGGGTATGATATATATCAATAAGTAATGAATGATAAAAAAGTATAAGACATGGAGTGTCTAATTACTCTAGAGTGCCAAGAATACTCTATAGCTTCAAATGTGGAACTCATTTGCTGAAAACATCTCCTAACTGTTGATTCTTCTTCATATAAGACAGACATAACCTAATAGCACCCACTCAAGAAAAAACTAGCAATTCACCTCAATGTGTTCAATGCAATCATGTTATACTATATCATGCATAATATTAATGACTGCCTAACTGTGGCAATAAAGTATAAAGGCATACTCCATGTTACTCCAACTCCAAGTAGTAAGTACAACCATGGAACTTCTGAAAGACAATGTGTGATGGCCCTATACTCTACCCCAGCACTGGAATGAACAACAATTGAATGTTTCTTGGTACTCCCAGAGACAAGCTTACCTCCAAAAAGGTTCAAAATACACAAGTAGATCTCCTATCATCCAATGGTCCTGCCCAATTTGCATTTGTAAAGACCTCCACCTTCATTTGATTATGTTTATAATACAAAATGCTTTTCCCAGTGCAACCCTTCAAGTAAGCAAGAATCCTATGAATTGCTAGAGGGTGAGTACTGAATAGTACGAGGGGGTGCATTATTAGCTAACCTCAGTCATTGAAGAGTCTTCTTGAGAACCCTAAAGATTGCAGATGTTCTCCAGTTTCTCTAGGGTTGGGCATTGATTCAATTTCAGGTTTCTTGCTCTGGGTTTGTTTTAACTAGGCGATCAGGCATAGATAGCTTTGTATCTTCCCAATATAGAGATCAGCTTCTCTTACAAGCAGTTTTGCAGCCACTGGGGAGAATGATTGGGTGTTTACCCTTTCCCCCAAGACCATTTTAATTCAGTGAAAGGTTTGGTTTGGGGCATCTAATTGAACAGTTACTTCCTTTGTTTCATTAAGTTTATTCTTTCTTGTCAGAGAATTAGTTGATTTTTTTTCTGTGAATAATGGAGGCACTTGAAGGTGATTTCAAGACAAGGGAGAGTCCAGGATTGATTCAGGAAGTGACAGATAAACATAGTTTTCAAGGCGCCAAGGTGAGGCTAGGTGACAAGGGGGCACCTTGTCGCCTAGTCGGGCACCTAGGTGTTGCCTAGGCGATGGATTTTTTCAAGTAAAAATATGTATCCTAGGGTAGTTCCATAGGTTCCATAATCATATTTCCTTAACAATTATCCATAATTTTCATGAGAAAAGTATAAACTTCATGTTAAAGTATAGAAAATCAACATATTCATGAGAAAAAAAAAAAAAAGAAGAAAGAAAAGAAATTTCAAAAAATATAAGGGCCAAACTCCTATTCTATTATGGGAAAAGAAGAAAGAAAAGTGGTACATAGTATAGACACACAAAATTAGTAAAGAAAAAGAAGTAAATGTGTTGATCAGACAACATTTTAAGTTCTTCCTTATTCGTTCAGGTTTTGAGTCTTTCAGGGTTCAATACAGCATTTAGCAATGTTTGTATTGATTAAACCCTAACAAATAAGAAAATGATAAAAAAATAGTATATAAACACACAAAATGAATATTTTAGTTTAAAAATGTCTATTTTAAAATTATAACCTCAAAAAATTAAGAATATAAAAGTTTGGTCTAACACACTATAGAAAACTGCTTGGCGATTAGGCGAGGCGAGCCTCCAAGGACGCCTTGTTGCCTAGGCATCACCTTGACAACTATGCAGATAACTGTGGTTTTTTTTTTTTTTTTATCAGCACAGACAACTCTAATTTTCATATTACTATTGTCAAACTAGATGGTGTCAATTACTTGGAGTAGACCCAATATGCTGGAATTGCAATTGAAGAATCTTTTAATATATTTTATATTGGTGGCAGGGGTATTGTGGTCATTGGACAATATAATCTTTTAATATAAATACTCAGATAGGAGGTGGCAATACAATCTTTTTGCTTTCCTTTCATTCTGTAGAGATCATTAATGTGGTCCCCACCTTGTGTATGTTTGTTTATTTATGTTTAGTTTCAGTCGACAGTTACTTTCAGTTGGTAGTTATTGGTAGTTATTTCTTACTTTTTTGTTTATGTAAACAAGAGGGGTAATTCAGGTTTTTCCCCCTATCTTTTAATTACAATATAAATAGCTGTGGGGCGACAATCAAACTGATCACCCACAATTCTTTTGACTTCTTTTCGTCTTCTCCTTCTCTTCTTCTCTCCTCCTCTCTTATTCTCAAAATTTTTTTCTTGTTTTTTGTGAATTATATCTATGACTGATTACAGTCCTACTCGACAACTTGGTATCAGAGCCAACCTAGGGCTTCTCATGTTAGTCTAATCAGGCTGACTACATGACAACTTCCTAGGTGATGATGCACAATCTGGCCGGTCTTAGCTGTCGATGATCTTGCCTCTGAACTGAGTAACRGGGACMTRAAAYGGDAGGAGRAGAKAAGCTCCGGGGAGAACCCGGCGTAAGGGCTCCGAAGCTCAAGTTAGAATCCTTCAAAGGCAAGAATAACCAGATAGCGCAAAAGTTAGCATACCTCGTCCCTGG